AATAGATTTTAAATTTCCTCCAAATAGATTGTGGATAATAAAAGGACTTCTATACATGAAAATGTTAGAAATATATTTAATTAAGATTACGAAGATATCCCCTCTCTTGCATGTATTTGCCCGTCAACAATCCTTAGCTCTCCACCAATGGCCTGCAAATATTATCACATCATAATGATTCCCTAATAACTGCTCTTGCTTCTAAAGTTTCTCCCACAATAAAATCTCCCTCTCCATGTGCTCCTCAATCATTTTTAGAGGCTATTAAGGGAGATCCATGGCGTAGCCCTCAACATGGCTCCTCTCCCATATATTTTAGCAAGTACCTGCAACATCTCATCACAAGATGTCATGCTCCTTAAAGAAAAACCAGTTCTCATTTTATTTGTCGAGGAGATCTCTAAGATGGCATCACCTTTTTCTTTCACCCCTATTGGTAGGCTTCTTAAAATCATCCCAATATAGAGACCGTCTACATAATAATGGTCAATCTACATTTGAATGGGACATTTCAATTTGACATATTGATTCTCATCACGTTCTTTCTATGTTATCTCAACAATCTAGTTACTCAAAACTTATATCGAAAAAATTATACTATATAAATGGCTCCCCAATGCATATGCTTTAGTGGTCTCCGATGAACTTCTTATTATTTCAATTTGTGTTATTTTTCCACATCTTCATATCCATTAGTTCAACCACTCCATTATGTATTCCACTAGCTCAATCTTTAGTGAATTGCTTCAGGAAGATGCAACTATAGCAAGGCTATCCATGCCATTAGTTGCTAGGGTACTGATCGAAATGAATAATAATTACCAATTTAGAGAAAGAAACTTGTATTAGTTTCATTGCTAGTGGTTAATGACAAAAGACAGAATTTGAAAACATTCCCTTCTTATTGTTCTTCCTTAAAATTTTTTTATCACAATTTCTCATGATGCTTCAAGACACTCAAAGCTACAACAATCTACTGACAATCATGATAGTGAGGATCATTCATTAAATAAGAACCTACCTTCGAATACAATGGTTGTAGTTCCAATTAGTTCTAGTTTATACTTTATACTCAACTTTAAAAACACACACACACACACACCATAATTGAGAAAGAATAAAAATAAAAAATGTTAGAAGTTCTTGAAGAAACCAGAAAGTTCAAAAAAATATATATAAGATATATTATTTTCAATTTTCTAAAATTTGATAAATGCAATAATTTAAATTTTAATGGAGAAATTATAATAAGCTACAAAATTTAAAATAAAAAAACTTTGGAATATATTGTGATTCAAAGTTTGTATATTTATGTTATGAAAATAATTTTAAAAATATTAAAGTCATAATCTAATAATTTTGAATGAATTGTAAAGATTATAATTTCTTTGTGATGATATGTTAAGTAACAAATTTAATTTAGGAATAATTTAAATATTTAAACAAAATAAAATATAACTAAGCAATGAGAAGAAAAAACTGTGTTAAAGAGTGGTATGTATATATATATATATATATATATATATATATCATATGTCATATAAAGTTCACCAAAGAATGATATGGAATGACATGGATAATGCAAATGAAATAATTAATATAAGAATGTGTGTATGTGTACGATGAATAACAGAGCTCGCCGCTTTATTGCAGTAGTTAGGGACACTTAAATACTCATGAATAAAATGAAAAAGGATATTGATATTGAAGTATCTTAAATTGCACAATTTAAACTGTGCTACTATGATGGTTATATTATATAAGAAAGAGATATATAAGATAAAATATTACAAAGTTTCTTCCTATTCATTTTATTGAAAATATCAAAATGTTTAATATGGTCATATTTGTATAATATGAATTGGTAATTGATTTTATACTGCTTTATTCATTATAACAAGCATATATGTTATTTTTTAAATTTCCTTTATGTTATTGTAGCTTAAAGATATCACATATGCACGGAGTTATGTTCATAACTCACTCTTGTATTTAATTAATATTTTTAGGATATGAGCTTGAGAACTTAATGAGTGAGAGAACACGTAGCAAAAGAGAAATGTATTCACATTAGAAGTATTATAATTTTGGTTTAGAATGAATTTTGTGATTTAGTGGTTATTTCAATATATTTGAAATTGTTACTAAGAGAAAATTAATGAACAATTTTAAATGTGGTTTAAAACGCTTTGTTTAACCATTTGTTCATGCCTCAATACCCCGAGTCCTCAGGCTAGGTTGTAACACAAAGCGAAGAAAGGGGTAGAAATGAAATATCAAGAAGAGATTCCCAAGAGGGGATACCATAAAAGAACTCTATCATCACAAAATTATGTCATTCAATTCAATAATCCATTATAAGACATAACTACCCCTATTTATTAAAATAGAGATATATAAAAGATCCAAATCAAATCTATCCAAAAATTAACCTAATAGATAATTGAATATAAAATAAGACAAACAAATCTAAAAACTGAATTTAAAATAAAAATAATTAATATAAATAATAATTTTATTTCTAGTGCAGCATCAATTCTCTTGTGATAAAAAAAAACTCTGCTCCAAAGAGTTGTATAGTTGCTAAAAGAAGAATTGGAAACTTCGATAATAATGTAGAGCGAGCAACAAGCATCCCAAAGAGAAAGATGAATGAGGAATCCATCACAAAGCATAGATAATGAATGGGAAATTCATTCCATAGAGGGGACAAACATCACCACCATTTACAATCTCGGTAAAAGACTTATCATAGATCCTCAAGAAAATTATCAAAACCACTGAAAGATATTTCGAAGCTTGGAGGTCTTCATGCATATGGCTAAATAAAATCAAGTTAACTAAAGAACTAACTAAATCTGATGACAATTTTTTGCCTGATTTTAGGGATCGGATAGTTAGTAATTTGCTTAGATTGAAAACGAAGTAGATTAGGTTATGCCATGTGGGTGATGTGGGAACTTGAGAATGTGAATATGTGAATCAGATGTGCAGCTTAATGGACTATATACAATGCAACAATAGAGGTGGGTTTGCATTTGATGCAGCGTAAGCCACATAAATTGATAAATTTGGTGTAAAAAGAGAGGTGGTAAAGTAGAAAGAAGAAGAGGATTCTAGAAGTGATGAACCAATGACTCAAAGGAGTAAAGGGGTGGGGGGTGAGCACATGAGGTGAAGCATTAAAAAGAAATCCTTGAAGGGATAGATTTCACAAAAAAGGAGTCCATAAGAAAACTCTGACAAGAAGACTACAATTGCTTAGTGCAATTAAAAAAAAACAAAGCTTATCATTACTGAACTTAGAATGCAAAAACATCAAACAAATGAATCAAAATTAATGTTTGGATCTTCCTTGGTCGTGAATGCTTGGAGAAAGAATATGAGAGACAGATAAAGAGGTTGGTTGAGAGAGAGAAAACTCAATAGAGGAAGTGATAAACTGAGAGAGAGAGAAGTTAGGATTGCTTGCAATTGTTTGTATATATCATAGATAATATTTTTTAATGTACAAGCATTTTTTATTTGTAAGAAGAATTTCATCATCTTATGAAACAATAATATGAAATGCAATCTAGAGTAATCAAAATAAATCATGATAATTCTTTCAAAAAAAAGGCAAGTGAAGACTTAGTTATTTAATGTGAAAATAAAGTAATGATCGAATAAATGTAAGCATCAACCCCTACATAAAGATGCTAAAGCACTCCGAAGAGTTGAATGGGAGGACCTACAATCCATGGAAAAGGTGGTAGCGAAGGGAACTTTTTTAACTCTCAACCATTAACAAGCATACCGAAATTATATTTTAATTTTTGTGGAAGAGGTAGATGTCTCTCCTAAATAAGCTAATGCGGTGAGAGATCACTTAGGGCATCTCCAACCAAAAAACTCATTTTTCACTCCAAAATACAGAAATACACCAAAATGCAGTAACTTGTCTCCGACCGAATTCCATTTTCAAACACAAAAAAGAATATTCATAGTATATTCTTTCTCATACTTTATTTTATATATTTTTAATCATATATTTATAATTATCAATTTTTTGAATTAAACCTATTTAAATAAATTAATTATGTAAAAAATATTTTAATTTCTTAAAAATAATGTGTTTCTAAATTATTATTTCTTAATTATTAATAATAAATTTTGCACTTAAAAATTAAAACTAATAAACTATTTTTTGGATTTAAAAAAAAATAATAATAGCGGGTGAATAGTGCGACGCCCATTGCATTTTTTTTTTGGCGTTCCAATGGAGCAACCGAGCGACACTATACATCCGTTTGAAGTTCGACTGGATAAGCTCGTAGCAACTCGTGGATAACCAAAAGGCTTCATTAGCAGGAGTTCTACTTTGAAGCCACATTTCTCCATACATTATGCTACTACGTATGATTGCCTAGTTAATCAAGAAACATATGATAGTCTGGCAACAATGATAAAACATTTGACCTAACTAAGAGATGATGGAGCAAGAAGCAGTATAGGATGATGTAAAACAACTTGTCACTACATTGATGAGAGCTTGAGAGCAATATCAATAAGAGATAACATAAAATAATGCTAAAAAAACATATGCTTGCTACTGAGATTCAAAGCGCGTATAAGTACGTGAGCAGAAGATCCGATCTATGATGATGATATTGACGACAGAGGTAACTTAGATTCAACGATCGATGGCCGATGAGCCCATGAAGAAAAAAAAGAGGAAAAATACAAAACAAAATAAATAAGAAACTTCACAAATCACGAATTCCCGGATTGATCAAAGCCCCAGAAATAAACTGCAGAAAAACCCTATAAGATTTACAGCGCGATTTAAGTAGGATTTACGCTAAATACAGCCAAACGGTTTTTGTGCGCGCGTTAAATCCCAGCGATGGGTAAATCCAGGATTTAAGGATTTATGGCTTAAATCCCAGATTTACTAAATCCCTCGGTAAGGCGGATTTATGGGATTTGGCCGCAGAAGCGCGCGAAAGCTAGAAAGTTACCTTCACAGCCAGCGAGCTCCCGTTGTTGCTTCCGATCAAAATGTCGTAACTTCCGATCCGACAGGAAGGGAAAGTCGTCGAAGGAGCGAAG